ATACGCAAGTATACATTGTGTTATTATTATACCACAATTATCTAGTTATAGTTGTAATTATACTTATTCATGCATACTTATGTATTCTAACACATACTATGCTATACATAAAAATACATATTACTATATGTAGTACTATTATTTCCTACACACTACTACATGCTACGAAAAAATAAAAAATAATATACATACTACAATATTATAGTATATATACTATTATATATTCCTATTGTATATATAATATTGTACATATTATAAACATACTGATAAAACATGTATACATATAAATTCGTTATATTATATAAAAATCGATAGTATTAATCAGTAAAATTCAGCAAGATTAGTATTAATCAAACATTCTGTCGAATAATTCTGGCGCATTCGTCTTTCTATTTTTGTCCGCGTAAAGACGCTCTTCAAACCACCGATCACTGTCACCAGGAAGTATCGTCACGGTTCATTTTTGGTTCGGGCACCTCAGGGCTCGTTCACCGTTCGCCGGTGAGCCGAGGATACCGGCGGAACAGCAGCCGGCCAGAGAAAACGTCCATTTCGACCCAGCGCCGCTACAGTGTAACCTTTCCAGGCATATCCCGTTGACTTACTTCGAAGCAAATCCGTCCGGCAGCCGCCTCGAAAAAGCTGTCCGCAGATTTTGTCCGAGTTTATTACCGCCACCGAAGAAATACTCCGAAAAAGCTAACCTAACAGAGACCTAACCTATGAATTTCCGACCGTTCGCCAAGAAATCGTTGATTTAAGGCCCCATAATTCCTGGCTATTAAATCCGGTTTACTGCTCTGCGCAGTTACTTCGTGATCAACATTGTTGCGGGCTTCTTGCAACGTACCTCTGCGTTTAGGAACTTTCCACTTCACAGATTCGGAAAAATCTGCATTTCCTTATGGCAGTGATTATCTTTTTTTCTTTATCTTTTTAGTAGTGTGCTCTCCTGTTGTCGTTCTGCAATGAAAACAAAGTGAAACATACCTTCATAAAATAGTGGAATTTCTTAAGGGTTCCAGAATTTTACCGGAAACGTAACCTAAAACGACACATTGTATACCATGTGACATGACCATCAAATGGGTAATACAAGTTGCGTGTCAACTCGTCGATTTTCCCACAAGAAAATACCAAAAAACGACTTCGGTTTTACAGGTGCATCTTCAATGCAACGTTTCAGAGTGCAACGTGTTCGCTTAATTGCAAGAAAGAAAAATGTAAATAATACTTTCACGTAGCTTGGGACGTGTACTATGAAGTAAAAGATCTCCCCCGAAATTTGCTGTGACTTTCAAAAAGAATTACCAAACGCGTGATGTACAAGAAGCGACGTTCAAGAATGCCAGCGTTGCTGTTTTACCGAGTACGTAACCTACAAAACTACATTATATAAAATATGACATAACCGTCCAGTGGCCGATAAAAAGTTTCGTATGAACATGGTCGACGTCCCAGAAAAAATTTCCCGGAGTCACATCAAGTTATTTTCATTGCAATTATGTGCTACTTTTCTGTCTAATTGCGTCGTTTGTATCCATTAATTAAAATGCAACAACAAACCGGTCGACCATAATATTCTACAAGTTAGCGTTAACGCCTCGATTCGGCCGCGGGCGACCGATCCAGCGTCGTTTCTCATTTTAGCGCCGCCGGGCCCTAGTGTCGTCATTGTTTGACCTCTCTAAAGAGTTTAACGGGGCCTTTATTCCGGTCAAACAATCGAGCAAGAATTTCGCAAACACGCGCGGCGCAGACTGCATCGATGGCAAACATTCCGTCGGCCCGATGACACCGACGTTTCCCGACGTTCCTGCAAATGATGCAACACGTCCGATCACGTGTTACACTTTTCCGCCGATGTTGGCGTACGCTCCGACGATCTCCCGGTGCGCGGCGCGCCGACCTGGATCGTCGGGCAGGGCGACGACATTCTGCGAGCCAGGCCACCGGTTTGCATGCAAAACGAGTGAACCGCCGTGTCCGGGCGGCTTGGTCCCGCTGATACCCGATAACTGGACTCCTAGACTTTCATCCGCTGGTCCACTTCGAGGCTACCGTTGCACCGAATCGCCGACAACCGCCGGCAGAGTTGCGTCGTCGTGCTGCGTGGTTACCCGCGTTTTCTGTGCGACGCGGGCCGATTCGACGGAGCCGTCAAGGACGAAAGAACACGGGAGATTAGGGGACCGAGGGTTCGGAGACACGGAGGATCAAGGAGCCGAGGAGACTCTTTGGGATTAAGGACGTTTAAGGACCCAAAAGAGGCAGGGAATAAAGGACAGAAGGAATCGAAGACTCACAGAGTGCACAAAGACCGAAGGAACTAGGGACTGAAGGACCCAAAAATCACAAGCAATTAGGGGCCTGAAAATTGAGAAGACCCAAAGGGAAGAAAACCGAAGGAACTAAGGACGCTTAAAGGTCCAATGGGACCCAGGGATATCGAGACCCCAGCATTCAAGGAACTAAGAGCCCAAGGACTCAAGAACCCGTTAAAGACCAAGAGATCCAAGGACCTAAAGAATTGAGGATTCGAGAACCAAGGAATCCAAGGTCACAAAAAACCAAGGGCCTAAGGGCCCAGAAATTCAAAGACCCGCGAAACCAAGGACTCAAAAACCTCAAGGAACGAATCGAGAAATTAAAAATCTATAGTGGTCCGGGAATCAGAAATCGAACTCACGGAATCAAAAATCTGACGAACTAAGGGTCTAACGACCCAAAGAACCGAGGGCCCAAGGACCAAAATAACGAACGATTCAAGGTGTCGACAAGACAAGAACTTAAAGAACAAAAAATCGAAGTACTCAAAATATAAAAAAGCTAAGAACTGAATTGAAAAGCCCAAAGAATCAAGGGCCCGAAGTCCCAAAGAACGAAGTACTAAAAAGAAAATAATAAAAAAGTAGAACTCAAGGAATAGAAATCCCAAAGGCTCGAAGTATCCAGAAACCAAAGAACCCGATTAATAAAACAGTCCAAGGACTTGGTCTAATGAAGGACCCATGGACCGAAAACCCAGATAATCCGAAAGTCAAGGTTTCAGAAATCGAAAGACTGAAAGTATCAAAAAACCAACAACTCAAGGGATGACAAATCGAAAGACTCGCAGTAACAAAAATCCGAAAATCCAAAGTCTCAAGATCTAAGCGGCCCAAGGCCCCGAACAACGAAGGACTAGAGGTATCATAAAAATAAAAACTCGAGGAATCGAGGATCTAAAGACTGAGAGCATCGAAAAGCCAAGGGACCCAATTAATAAATAATCCAAGGACCCAATCCAATCGAGGGCGCGAGGCCCCAAAATCCCGAGAAACCAATAACCCAGGGAATCAAAGATCGGAGGGCTGAAAATATCAAAGAATAACGTGACTCGAGTAGTAAGAAATCCAAGGACCCAACAGTACCAAGGGCCTAAGGCCCCAAAAGCCAAAAAATAAGAAGTCCAAGGAATCGAAAGGCTGGAATTATTGAAAAAAGGAGTGGTACTTGAAGGACCCAATCTAATTGAGGACAATTGGGTCCTCGGACCCAAAAATCTTCGGCAGGCCCTATCGAGTGCCCGTAGTTCGAAAGTTCCGGTCTATTGGTCGCGAGAGTCTATGTGAAACTGCGTCATGTGTGAATCGGTATTAGGTGAATCGCGTAAAGCGTCGTCGCCGACGACCTTGAGACTGTAGATCGTTTCACAACACTGTTCTGCATTTTCACCCCTTCCTCCGTCACCAAGCTGCCCCCCAGTCGGCCGGCGGAAACGATGATTTAATGACCATACAGCGGTGGTAACGGTGGTGGGGTCCGACACGCAGGACATTATCGGGGTTTTGGTCCTCTTGGCCGCGACTTTCGACGCTGGATGATCAGTTTTTGGTTAGCAGCTGTACCTTCACCACTCAGCCGGCTCTCCGGGATAACGGAGACGGGACACATCGCTGACCTGGCTGCAGTCACGCCGCAAGAGAACTCGGCGGAAACAAGGTGAGCTCGATTCGAACGAGTTCCACGCGATCTGGAGTTCGTTTACGTGCTTTTTCAATTAAATTGGTTATATCGTTCGTTGTTCGTCTTTTGACAATCGGTCCGCGGATTTTGTGCATTTCCGACGAAGTTGACCGGGTCGGAAAGAAAATTGTAAAGAAAATATTTTTAAATTATGTTGAAGTTGTTTAAATTTCTCGAAGAAATTATTAGAGCAAAGACATTGCAATTCTCGTTTTTTCCATAAAAATACGCAGGCCAACTTTTGACATTTTGATGCTCAGTGAGGGAAGGCGTAATGATTTTGGGGTGTTCCGGTGAAGTTATGGTTGAGGGACTCATCTACAGCAAGATTATTATTATTATTATTAGATTATTATAGATTTTTTTTTCATAGAAATATTGG